TCAGTCACTATCCTCCCTTGTGTTTATCCATATGTTGTAGTTATCCTAATCATTATAGGATTAGGATAATCATCCCCTTTATTTGTAGCAATCCTTATCTCCTAAGGAATATGCTTTATTCTCTTGTATGTATATATATATGTGTAACCACGTGATTAATAATACAATGAGAGTTACAACCTTCTTTATTCTTTAACACAAAAAGCGATAATTCAATAACAGAATCAAGATATTATCTACTAGATTTTTTGCCCGCACTTGCGGGCTTAATCATTTTACTAATATCAATAAACAAATATATAATCATTTTAAGTAAATTAAAATAAATTATTGTTCATACACTTAAAATATTTAATAATAATCTAAACAAATTCTTTCTATATATAAAATTTTTCATCATCATATAAATAATTGTCATTACACAAATTAAATGTGAAAATACTCACAAATTTAAAATATTTAGTAATAAATTAATGTCGTTTTTAGGCATAACAAAAAGAACTATAATAAAACTATCTTTAGTATTGTTATGGATAACACAATAATAAATTATCTATACATAACTTCTTTGTGAATTAATTTTTTCATAGTTAAATATATATATTAACAAATATAATTATTTTTTAAGGTTAATAAAGACTTTATATCACAATATAAAAAAGTTAGATAAGGATAATTATCAAATTCATGAAATTCGTTTTTAATTGGAATTAATTATATATTAACAAATATAATAATTTTTCAAGGTTTATAAAGAATTTATAAAATAATATAATTTTTTTAAAATAAGGATAATTATCAAATAAATGAAATTCGTTTTAAATTTATAATTAATTATATATTAACAAATATAATTATTTTTCAACGTTAATAAAGACTTTATAACCCAATATAAAATAGTTTTAGATAAAGATAAATCTAAATCATTTAAATTCGTTTTTTACTTATGTTTAATTATATATTTCATTAAGGGTATAAACGATATTAACCAGTCTAACTTTTAACGTGAGAGCTCCGTTGCGAAAAATCACTTCGCAAATAATAGTATAGATTTCCTTAACTCAAAATATGTTCCATAGTGCAATGATTTTATAATGTAATAGTTCCCAGAATACAACTGCAAATTATCTTCTAATTTGTGTCATTCTAGAAAAAAAAGAATCAAAGAAAAAGAACAAAAAGAATTATATGAGGGATGCTTGATTTGTTTCTTTATGTTAAAAATTACACAAGTGTTTTTCTTTTAACACGTTATGTAATTGAATGAGAATACTAACAATACCAATCAATTTCAATAATGGAATTGATTTCCACGATTCATGTACGTCAGTTTACGTCAGTTTTGTAAAGCATTATTGTGGCTTTAACCAAATCAGCAACCATTAATATACTTTTCTTGGGTTAACTTATATATACACATATAAGAATATTAAATAAGTCAATTAACAAAAATGTTCAATTAAAAAATTAAATTTAAATTGAAAATCCAAATATCCAAAGTGATCTATTTGCTAAATATTTTTTATTTAGCCAAATATAAAGTTTTATAAACTTTGCATGTTATTCACTATGGACCTCTATTTTTCATTCAACAAAATTTCAATTTTGACAAATGAATAGACTATTTCATAATCCTCAAAGTGACGATTACATCGTGCCCAAAATTCTGATTCTTCCGACAGATGTTTCCGTCGAAAAACCCATCAAAAAAAAGTTCACACCACTTTTTCAAAAACAAGTTTCAACAATGACAAAAAAAACCAGTCCAATTGAGGAGAGGATCAGTGAAAGGTCAGGCGGTGCTTCATCGGAGAGAACCAAAGCTATATGCCTTTTCACAATATGTACATATCTAAAAAATAATATGAGTTAATATTTGATATGTTCGTATATTGTGTGTATCTATATCTAAGATTAGAAACTCTTGTATACATAAGGCTTGGACCTAAGGAATAAAGACATAAAACTATCTTCCTTAAACTATGTTTTCTGATACAGTATCAAAATCCTATTATGGTTTCATCCTTGACAGCTAGATCATCATTATTTCTTTGAGGAAAACTATCGTTACTTTGTTGATTGATCTATTCTCTCTTGATCGTTTGTCAAAGTTTTAAGTGATACATAATAATCGATTGAAAGATAAGTGATGAGGAAGTGTTGCAGTTGGAACGTCGAAAGAAATCATTGGAATTCAAAGGAGAACTATATAATCTTATGAGCTAACCTCAAACAACAATCCCTGAAGTATCATCTCCCAGCAGTTGCTTAGAGGATTGAACTACGACGAGTGGGCACGGTACCGGTCCTGACATGGGAAAGACCAGAAGCAATTTTCAAAAAAATGGCCATTTTTATAAGAACGTTTATATAATATAATAATAATTTTCTTATAAAAAAAACTGAATTTTTCAAGTATTTTTTGAGGGCCGGAAGCGGTTGCTTGTAATGCTTCCCCTCAGGGCCGGTACTGGTGGGCAACAAACTCATGATTGGTTCTTATAGCAGATGTCGCTTAAATCGATTTTTTTAAAATTAAGTGTATATATTGAAATCTGATATAAAAATAGTAAATTGTCACACATTTCTAAACTTATCTTTTAGTTTATTTAGTGTATCTTGTCTATCAAGTTTCAGATGATTAGAACTTAGAACTCGACATCATCGCCAATTTTGGTAAAATATTGTGCGTTAGACGGGGGTAATTTTGAACATAGCAAAATAAAATATTAATTTAAAGTCCCTTAAATTTTCAGAAAAAATTACATGGAAAAATGTCTCTAAATTTATTTAAAATATATTTTTTAAATTCTTACTAAATTATTTAAGACCTCAAGTCTCCAACATCTCAAGAACACCCTTAGTGTTAGGCAGTGATCTGGGTTATGTCTATCTTCTATAGAAGTGTAGAAAGAGGCAAAATATTGGTGGTGATTTCATTCGATTCGATTTGATGATTAATAATACAAATGGAATACAACCACATGTGGACTTAAAGACTTGATTTTATGTTTTAGATTATCAAAATCTCAATTACCTTCATGAACCTAAGTATAATTATATTTTTATACATTTAATAATCTATACTATTTAAACATAAATTATAATCCTTTTCAGGTATAATTTTTTTATTTGGTCAATCCTTAGAAAATTTATCAAATTTTACATAAATTATTCATGATATTTTTTTAATATATATATATATATATCTTTTTGAAATATAGATATTTTTAAGAGAAATTTGTAACAAAACTTTTTAAAATTTTTAAAATATTTTTAAAATAGTTTCTAAAATTTAGTTAATTTAAACTATCATAAAATATAAATAAAAAACTAAAATAATTTAATATTGAATAAACTGAAACAAACATGCGAATGAAGAGTTAACTTATATTCAAAACAAACTTTTTGAAATTTTCTTTTTCTTTTTTTTTTGGGTAAACATCTTTTTTCAATTTATTTATTTATAAGATGAAAAATCAGTTGTTCTTAAGGCATAGAAATTTGGAGTATACATTTTTGGTCCCAAAACATTTTGGAAATAATAATCAAATTAAAATAAAACTTATTCTTCTAAAGCTTTTGGTCGTTGATAAATAAGTATTTGGATCATTAAAGAAACTGTGTCAGAGACCCAGAAGATTTGTCGTTGTACTTTTATTCCTCAATGTTGGTGGAATCCTAAGAACAAAACCGTGTGAGACTAAACCCACAAACGAACGACTTGTCACCACATCAGCACATGAACCTCCCACGTTGATCCCTCCTCCGGCTAAAAGTCGCCATGTGGCTCATCTCAAACGGCTAGTTTTCTTAGCCGTCTTTTGCTTACCACACCAGTAGCAAAGAGGAGAGGCAACACATTTTAAAAGTAAAGAAAATGAAGATATTTTGCCTACGGAAATTTCCAGCGTTTTCTCGTTCTGTTAAATAAAGTAACTGAATAAAACGTAAAAGAATTAATCCATATAAAATATAATTTCTTTAAGAGTATAAGTACAAAGAAGTGAGCTCATCTTCTTGTCACAACTCAAAACGAAAAATCACTCATTTTTCTCAGCTTTGTATTTCTCTGGAGAAAAAAACTCACTGTTGATAGGTCTGTTTCTTGCCCTATATGGTCTCTTACTTTCTTCGGATCCTCTGTTCTTGGAGCCTCTAAAACTCCAAAAAGATCTGATTTTTTAACGTTTTCTTGTGCAGATTCCGTCAAGTAAGAATCTTTTATTTAATAACTTTAAGGACAATGGCATTGGGGAAGAAGAGAACCATAGCCGAGAGATCGAGTTCGAAGCATGTGGAATATGGAGGGTTAGGGTTCGATTTGGAGTTGGTTCAGTATAAGAGAGGATTTGGGAGGAAGAGGATTCTAGTTTCATCAGGTGCTGATGAGATTGAAGATTCGTTTTTCACTTCTCCTGTCCGAAAAATCTCATCTGGTCGAAGTCAAGAACTTGAAGATCTTCCGCTAGATATTCTGGTTCGTTTCATCACTAAAGGCCTTTCTTAATTACAGGTTTCTGGGTTATAATTAATTTGAGATTTTTTCTGATTTTATTACAGGTTAAGATTATATGTGGGGTCGAGCATGAAGACTTGAAACAACTGTTTCATGTTTCAAAAACAATAAGAGAAGCTGTAAGTACAGTTATCATTAGTAGATTTTATGATAGAGTACCAATTTAATTGTTCTTGGTGTTTCATTACAGGCATTGATTGCAAAGCAGACACATTTTGCTTATAGTACACCTCGGAAAACCTCGGTTATCCACCATGATTTGAACAAACCATTTGGTTTAGGCGTTGTTAGTGATGATGAGATCAAAACCCCTAGAGCCCCGTTGCAGAAAAGGTATCGACTTTCACGGATAAACTGCATCAAGGACATTTCTGGAGTCTCAGTTTCTCTGTTCAACTAAATCAAGGAATCGTCAACTCTGTTTCTTCAAGACCCTTAATTGAAGAAAAGGGGTTTAAACGTTGGGTTTTGGTTTGGATAAGTCTCTGTAAGTTGTTGTTAGATAAAGAAAGTTAGGGTTTTAGAAAGAGTAGCTTGTTTAGAAGGTTACAGAAAGCTCTTTTGGTAGTGTAAAACTTGTTTGTACGTTTGTGTAATGTAAATGTAGTTTATTTGTTTATAAAATGAATTAATAAGAAATGGAGTCTCTGTTTTAGTAATCCGTGTCATTTACTGCAAACGGATTACGGTCATTTCGATGCCATCTAGCTATTAAACCCAATGACCCTTATCAGGCCCAAGCCCACACGACAGCAAAGGTGTGTTCTGCAAGTCACATAAGACAAAACACTACAACGGTCATGAAGGAAAATAGAGGTCAAGGAAAAGGAGAAGATAAGAGTACGGTCAAGACACCTCACCTGCAGCTAACCAATAGATTTGCAGTGCTTGTGGATCAGAACAGATGAGCTGTCAGGTCTGACCAGCTGTAAGAGATCTAGATTGTTCTTCTCTTTGTATAAATAAGCTGTGAAACGTATCTGTAATGGTCAAGTTATCAAAGTATAATTTNGGAGAAGATAAGAGTACGGTCAAGACACCTCACCTGCAGCTAACCAATAGATTTGCAGTGCTTGTGGATCAGAACAGATGAGCTGTCAGGTCTGACCAGCTGTAAGAGATCTAGATTGTTCTTCTCTTTGTATAAATAAGCTGTGAAACGTATCTGTAATGGTCAAGTTATCAAAGTATAATTTCAGAGAAAATATCATCTTTCCCAGTTTCTGTCTTTACCTTCATGGTATCAGAGCTCAGGGATTAGAACCTGAGACTCTTCGATGGATGGAAACCAAGATCAACCTCCGGTTACCTCTCTTACTATCACTCAAGTTGTTACCTTGAAGCTTAAAGAGGGAAACTACCTTCTCTGGAAGCTTCAGTTCGAGCAGTTCCTTTCAAGTCACAGAAGCTTTTGGGTTATGTTACCGGCGCTCAACAGAGACCTCCTGAGACCATCACTGTTCGCAATGGAGATACCGTAGCAGAAGAAGCAAATCCTGAGTTTGTCAAGTGGCTGCAAAAAGATCAACTCATCCTAGCTTGGCTCTACGGTACGTTAACAGAAGATGCTCTCAAGTCTGTTTATGGCCTTCACTCATCTCAGGAGGTATGGCTTGCTCTAGCTAAGAAGTGCAATAGGGTATCTGCAACTAGGAGGTTAGATTTACAGAGACGCGTTCAAACTACGGTTAAAGGAACAAAAACCATGACTGCCTATCTCTCTGAAATCAAATCTCTATATGATCAACTGGATTCTATTGGTACTCCTATTACTGAACATGAGAAGATCTATGGAGTTCTTAATGGTTTAGGAAAAGAGTACGAGTCAGTTTGTGCTGTGATAGAACACGGTATGGATGCTTTTCCGGCTCCTTGCTTTGAAGATGTTGTGTACAAGCTTACTGGTTTTGAAGATAAGTTGCAGTCCTATCAGTCCGTTGCAGAGGCTTCTCCTCATCAGGCGTTTTACACAAACCGTGGAGGTTACTCCAACCGTGGTAGAGGAGGCTACAGAGGAGGTTACCGTGGACGTGGAGGATCTTATACAACACAAGGCCGTGGCTTTCCTCAACAGTTTGGTCACAGCGCTCAACGTCCTCAAGGAGCTCCTGATAATCGTCCAACATGTCAAATCTGTGGCAAGTTTGGTCATCCTGCGAATAAGTGTTACAAAAGGTTTGACTGTCACTTTGCTGTGGACTACAATCAGCCTCAAGCCAATGCTCTCACCACAATGCAATCAGGTGCTGAATGGTATCCAGACAGCGGATCATCTCATCATGTCACTAACTCACCTCAACACCTTGATGCATCTCAAGCTTATGAAGGCAATGATCAAGTCATAGTGGGTAATGGTGACTTCTTACCTATAACTCATACCGGTTCAGCCTCGATTCAGACACAGTCAGGTACATTACCTCTTCTTGATGTCCTTGTATGTCCTGGCATTACCAAGTCTCTATTATCTGTTTCCAAGCTTACCGATGACTATCCTTGCTCTGTCACATTTGATTCAACGTCTGTTTGTGTTATGGATAAGGCAACCAACAAGGTTCTCAGTCAGGGAAACAAAATTAAGGGGCTCTATCGGCTGGATCAACCTCAGTTCATGTCCTTCTACTCCTCTAGACAACAAAGCTCGAGTGATGCAGTGTGGCACAGAAGACTGGGGCATCCTAATGATCAAGTTCTGCAGTATCTTTCTTCAATAAAGGCCATTCAAATAAACAAGACTCTCAAGTCTATGTGTGAACCATGTCAACTTGGCAAGACATGTAAACTTCCCTTCTCTAGTTCAGATTATAGGTCCAGTAGAGTACTTGAACGGATACATTCTGATGTTTGGGGCCCTGCACCTGTAGTTTCAGTTCAGGGATTCAGATTTTATGTTGTATTCATTGACAATTTCTCAAGATTCTGCTGGTTTTATCCTATGAAATCGAAATCTGATGTGTTCTCTATCTTCAAAGTCTTTCAGAGTCAAGTAGAAACACAATACAACCAGAAAATAACAGTTTTTCAATCTGATGGGGGAGGTGAGTTTATCAACAAACAACTCTCTCTTCACTTTGAAAACTGTGGGATCAAGCACATCGTTTCTTGTCCTCACACACCAGAGCAGAATGGCATTGCAGAACGCAGACACACACACATCACAGAGCTGGGATTGTCAATGTTGTTTCAGAGTCATTTACCCGTCACATTGTGGGTTGAAGCGTTGTTTACAGCTGCATTTCTGAGTAATTTGCTTCCTACCACAGTTAATGACAAGATGAAGAGTCCCTATGAGCTTCTCAATGGTCACGCACCTGTATACACAGCTCTGAGGGTTTTTGGATGCGCTTGTTACCCGTATCTCCGACCTTACTCTCAGAACAAGTTTGATCCTAAATCTCTGCTTTGTGTCTTTTTGGACTATAATGAAAGATACAAAGGCTATAGATGTTATCATCCTCCAACAGGAAGGGTCTATATCAATAGACATGTTCTATTTGATGAGGAACGATTGCCTTTCCAAGACACCTATCAACACTTACTTCCTCCAGAAACTACTCCACTCACCAAAGCTTGGCGAATGCAGAATGCCTCTTACTCTACTCCAGTGTCTACTGAGTCTACTACTGCTGTAGATACTGAAGAAGTTGTTCCTGTTACTAGATCAAGCCTGCATCCACCTCATCTAATACCACTTGCTGCTGTTAATCCTGCTTCACCTGCAGCTAATCATGACGATCAAGGGCATTCAAGTTCTTCTGAATCTGGTCAGAGCTCGAATCACTCTTCTCCACCTGGGTCACCAAACGATGTCAATACTCAAATTGGTCAACCTCAAGGAGAGCAGGAGAATGCTCACAGAATGGTGACAAGGGCAAAGGCAGGCATTATGAAACCAAATCCCCGGTATGCTTTACTTGCCACCAAAGGCATACCAGAGGTTCCTAAAACCAACAGAGAAGCACTGAGTCATCCAGGCTGGAAGGAGGCTATGTCTGAAGAAATGCAGAACTGTGCTGAGACTAATACATGGACCTTAGTCTCACCTCCCTCTGATGTTAACTTACTTGGCTGTCGGTGGGTTCACAGAGTCAAACTCAACGCTGATGGAACATTCTCTAAGTTCAGGTCTAGGATTGTAGCTAAAGGAAATGAGCAAGAGGAAGGAGTTGATTTCCTTGAAACCTATAGTCCAGTGGTTCGTACTGCCACTGTCAGGTTGATTTTGCATCTTGCTGTGGTTGAAAAATGGGATATTAAGCAGTTTGATGTTAAGAATGCATTTCTCCATGGTGATCTCACTGAGGAAGTTTACATGAGACAGCCACCGGGGTTCGAAGATAAAGATCATCCAGAGTACGTATGTAAACTCAACAAAGCCATTTATGGGCTCAAACAAGCTCCAAGAGCATGGTTTGATAAATTCAGCTCGTTTCTGATAGAATTTGGTTTTGTCTGCAACGCAAGTGATCCATCACTCTTTATCTATCAGAAGAACAGCAGTGTTGTCTTCCTTCTGCTTTATGTGGATGACATGCTACTGACTGGCAGTGATCAATCTCTCATTCAACAGTTGCTTAGGAGTTTAAGCAAGGTTTTCAGAATGAAGGATATGGGCTGTTTGAGTTATTTTCTGGGTCTACAAGCTCAGTTTACGGCAACTGGTCTGTTTCTTAATCAACAGAAGTATGCAACAGATCTTCTTCAAGCAGCCGGCATGCTTAACTGTGCTCCAATGCCAACTCCACTTCCTCTGCAACTGGATAGAGTACCACATCAAGACGAGTATTTCTCCAATCCTACCTATTTTAGGAGCTTGGCGGGGAAGCTTCAATATCTTACATTAACCAGGCCAGACATTCAATATGCCGTCAACTTGGTTTGTCAGAAGATGCATAAACCTACTGTCTCAGATTACAATCTTCTCAAACGTGTGTTGCGGTATGTCAAAGGTACATTAACCATGGGTATAACTTTGGAATCTGATACAAACTCGCAACTTCGAGCTTACTGCGATAGTGACTGGGCCGGATGTCAGGAAACTAGAAGATCTACTGGTGGTTTTTGCACCTTTTTGGGATCAAATTTGATATCCTGGTCTGCTAAAAGACAGGATTCTGTTGCTCGATCATCTACTGAGGCGGAGTATAGAACTCTCTCTGATACGGCTGCAGAAATTGAATGGCTCAGTCTGATGATGAAGAATGTTAATATTGCTGTGTCTGGTCCTGCAGAAATCTACTGCGACAACCTGTCAGCCGTTCATCTCACAGCTAACCCTGTGATGCATCGAAAATCAAAACACTTTGCCACTCACTATCACTATGCTCGGGAGAAGGTAGCCAATGGATCTCTTATCGTCAAACACATTCCTGCAGCTCACCAACTGGCTGATATCTTCACAAA